CACACACCCACACACACACACACATGACACATACATGACACACGCTCTCACTGTCTTTGTCTTTCTCTGTGCCTCTCTGTTCTCTCTGCGTGTCCTCCCAGAACCGAAGCAGGGCTGAGAATATCCTACAAGGCACAGCCTTTGCCTTGTAGAAAACACCACATTTCAACCTACCGCTGAATATGATCTCTTCTGCGGCTCGTCCTCTAAGTCCAAATGTCTTTGAACACCAAGCCGGTTAGCTTCTCTCTCTGTCTCTAAACTCTAAAGCCCGCTCCCGAATCGCATGCTGCCCGCGGCCCATGGTAGAATGAAAGTCCCCAGCGGGGGAAGCCCTGAAAAACCTAAGGCCTAAGGCCAATAATCGATCACGATCCAAGGAGCGCTACGAGTCCGATGCCTGCTGCACTCTTCCTGATTTTCTGGACTCGTGGGACTCGCGGTCTACTGCAGGTCGGGGAGGCATCAGCCACGCAATCTAATCATACGGGCCTGACTGTTAGAATACGGTTTTGCGGTATACTATAGCGTAAACATACAGAGACTATACGAGGATATGTCTACAACTTATTCAGATCTCTGCGCTACCTCAGCAAAGCTCGACTCCGCAGTTGGTCCTAGATTGTATCTGCACTCTCAACCCCAATTCAGAGCCGAGCCACAACACTTTTACCCATTCTGAAGCCGAACTCAACTCCATAGAAGTCATTAAAGTACTCGGCCCTCAGCCTCAAACCTTGAACGTTGCGACCCGAAAAGCCGGAACCTCCTCCCTGGCTCTAGCGGAGCCAAGCTTCTCCTTTGGCTTGGGCTTGGTGACGGACGTCACAAGATCCGGGAAAAGCTCTCGGAGCCTAGCGGGCATAGCTTCTCTGTCGAAATTTTGTTTGGCCCGCCTAGGACGAAGCAGTGCTTGGGGTTGGAAGGGTTCTCTGGGCTAACTGTCCATTCATATCTATCGTTGCGAACTGAACAAAGATCATGGTTAAAGGATGCTTAAAGCCCACGTGTTGCTGAGTCATAAATAGCTCCGTCTCAATCGAACGGAGTTCTATATTGTCCAAGTAAAGCGGCTGTTTGACAACCTCAACTCTATCGTGAATGGACCAGCCTTCTGACGCATTGCTTGTGTGGGACAGCACGGGCGAACACCGCAAACCCTTTATTGCAACTGGAACTTGGTGACTGCCCGCAAGCGCTGAACCCTAACATTCAGCTACACAGATCGCAAGAACTCTAAAAACCACTTAGTCCTCGGGCGCACAGCTCCAGTCATCTCCAGCCCAAGACAGCTGACTGACTCACACATGCTGCTCGTCGGTTTCAGATGCAGCATGTACCCTGAACTATGAACCTTGGGTTTTGAACACTGTGGCAACACCGGTGAGACGGGGTTCGTGCGCGCAGCCCTGAACACATCCGGAAGCTGGGGGGAAGATTTAGCCCTCCGTATCTTTGGATCGATATCTCGCAGTCTCCGTTCGAAAACATCTGCTTCGGCGGTGTTCGAATTGAGGTCCCTGTAAGAGATTACCATGAAGTTCCAACAGTGGCTTTCTGTTGTCCAGTATGGCAGCCTCATCAGCCTCTCAAGATCTAGGTTGCGATTGAATCCTTTCAAACACACCTTTGCTTCAGTTTGAGGTTCGGGGTTCCAGCACTGCACAAGCGTCGCTGCGGGTCGGCCGTCGCAACTTTAAGACACATTCGGCTCGAGTTCGCTGAAACCCATCATGTAAGACATGTCTCAATACACGAAGAACAAACACACCTCTCTGCCCGAGGGGCTGCTGGGCAACCTGTGACTCCAGTATCTCACGGGGGTGGAGCATGGCCGGCAAGTTTTTCCGGGTCTCGTCCTCGATCACCTTTCAAGTGACACCCCCTGAGAAGAACAACTAACAGTCCCCTTTCATGGAGTCGAGTCTATGAAAACCACGCAGCGGCACCTCGAGTGTGCAAGCAGCGGTGCTGCAATACTAAAGAAGGGAGGAATCATGGCATTTTGTTCTCTCTCGCTCTCTCTCTCTGTCTCCTTTTGCCGTGACAGCTTTGAACAGCAACAGTGCAAGTGACACACTCCCTCCCTCCCTCACTTACGGACACTCACACACACAGACACAAACTCTCTCTCTCTCTCTCAGTCTCCCTCCCTCCCTGTCTCTCGTCAGTCTGCAGGAGGTCAGTTGTGCCCTCTGAATCTGCGTAGCAGCGATCTCTGCCCTGCTCTCCCCCTCCCAAAGCTCGCTGGTTCTTCAAGCAAGGGTCTCTCAGCTGAAGCGTTGAAACAACTGAGGTTTAAGACGCTTGTAGTTGCAGGACACCACCCCCTGTCCTAAACCATCGGACTCCCCTGAAATAGCCAGCCGACAGTACATGTGCGGCCCTGCCTTGTATTCAGTGAAGGCTGATGCACAACCACCGGGGCCCTTGTTAGCCTCGGGCTGAGGGGCTTCCAATGGTGTAGCCCACAAAGTCTGAGCAGCCATTCGTGGCAAAGGTCATCAGAAAGCGATTCTTTGGCAGACAGCACGCACAACTAATCAGACTCATCCAGAGAATGCTCAAATGTCACGTCTACGGGCCTTGCGAACACATGCGAAGGAGCCCATAAACGCGTAACAGGTATCTACGCGCACGCACGCATGCACGCGCACGCGCACGCGCACGCGCACGTGCACGTGCACACACACACACACACCCACACCCACACATGCATGCATGCACACACATGCACACACACACACACAAACACATGCACTCGAACTCCAGGCAACCCTCGTGGTGAGTTCTCATGAATGATATCCACACCAATCAGAGTCTATGACTCAGAGGAGACATCAACGAGGAAAAATGTTGCGGGGGGTCTCTCAATAGGCTCTGGTTCCCTTGCTGCTGGTTTACTAGGAAAGAAGCCAAGGATCATGATTTGCACAGCGAATACATCACATGACGTTCACCATATACAGCTTGCACTACGATTGTGTCACAAACTGGAAGCAGGTACGTGGCAGAGGCGTCCTTCTGCCATAGCACGGATAGCTGATGAGCGTCCTTGCTAGTGCCGGACTCATCAGTATCCCCGGCATCCCCTGCTGCATAATGCAGGCTAAGACTCCCGTTGTAGCTCGGGTTCCCCACCCACACGCACCTCGTTGAGGGAAAGGCTCTTTAGATCGTGTCCTGGCCGTCTCTGGCATACAATGTTGCTCTCATCGGTGCTGTCCACAGTCTGATAGGCTGCAGAGTGTCCCGCGTCTCGCTCTCCACTGGTTGGTTGGTCGACAGCTGGCTCGCTGTCCCTTCGTCGTCTGGTTGTGTCGCCGTCGTGCACGCTGGTAGTTGTGGTAGTTCTGGGGGTTCATCTTGTTCTCCTTGCCGCTCTCTGTCGTTTTCTGCGTTGGGTGTCGGCTGCTGCGTCGTCGTTCCCGCTGGTGCAGTAATTTCTGGTCGTGCCGTAGTGGCTCTGCGCCACGGTACTTCGGCAGGAGGTTCTTCTCGTTCAGCTGGTTGTTGTGGTGAATGCCCGACGAGGTTGAGGCGCAGCTTCCTCTCTGACTCGTGGAGCTTTCTCCTTGGGCGTGTGCCCCCCGTCGTCGCGTTGTGTGTCGCCGTCGTCTGTTCTGGTAGTACTGGTAGATTTTCTCGCTGTTGTCCTCCACGATGTTGTCCTGTTGTTCACGGTCTTCTCGTTCCCCGGGCGTCGTGTTGTTCGTCGTCGTCGTTCGGTCTGGTAGTGCTTCTGGTTCTCCTCGTCGACATCGATCTGGTCCTTCTCGGTCTGCGTGTTGTCGTAGGCGTCGCTCCTGTGGTAGTCCAGGTTGGGTGGGGTTACCTCGCTCCCCTGTTGCCTGTTCTCGTTGCAGTTCCCGTCGTGGAGCTGGGTCACGGTCGTTTTGTGCTCCTCCTATCGTCTTTTGTAGTCTCGTCGTTTGTCCTGGTACTTAAGGCAGTTCTTGTTCATGCCCTTGTTGGTGTGTCGCGAGTCCTTCTTCGTCCGCTGGTTAAGTTGGTTTTTTGAGTACTGGCAGAGGGGCGGCTTCCCCGCGAGGTAGCTCTGGTAGCGTCTCTTGGTTTGCTCGATTGGGTGTTGGTTTTCATGGCTGCTGGTGGTGGACTATTAAGTGATAAAAAAGAAGAGGAAAACCGCTGCTGTATACTGCAAGCGAACGCTCCCGTTGTGGTTCCCGTCTCACACACACGCACCTCGTCGAGGGAAAGGCTTATTGGATCGTCTCGTGGCCGCCTCTGGCGTACAAGTTGTTCTCATCGGTGCTGTCACACACTTTGGTAGGCGGTGGAGTGTCCCCCTCCTCGCGGCTAATTCTCCACTCGTTGGTTGGTCGACAGCCGCCTCGGTGTCCCTTCGTCGTCTGGTTGTGTCGCCGTCGTGCACGCTGGTAGTTGTGGTAGCTCTGGTTCTCCTTGCCGCTCTCTGTCGTCTTCTGCGTCGTCGTCGCTGCTGGTAGTGCTCGTAGTTTTTGGTCGTGTCGTGGTGGTTCTGCGCCATGCGGTACTTCGGCAGGAGGTTCTTCTCGGTCAACTGGTTGTTGTGGGGAGTGCCCCGACCAAGTTGAGGCGCAGCTTCCTCTCTAACTCGTCGAGTTTTCTCTTTGGGCGTGTGCCCCCGTCGTCATGTTGTGTGTTGTCGTCGTCTGTTCTGGTAGTACTGGTAGTTCTCCGCTTGTGCCCTCCGTGGCGTCGGTGGAGGACTGCATCTTAATGTGAATGTTGATCTCCATGGCAGACGGGGTGGTGCTGTGCCGAGCTCACCCTAACACTGAGCGAGCAAACCTTTAAAGCAAGGAAGGTCTTATGACCCAAAGATAATTCTACACTTCATGAATCTTGACAACAATGACTTCAAGAATGATTTTTCAAGAGTCTTCACGATAAGCGTCTCCGCATCAGATGTCTTGAGTTCAAAAGACTTTCCCCTTCAACTACGACTTTCCGCTCTGTTGTGTTTTGGGCCTGTTGCATGTTGCACTCGGGGTACTGCTTCAAGAAATACTGCCTTGAGACTCATCAGTATCCCCGGCACACCCTGCTGCATACTGCAAGCTAAGACTCCCGTTGTAGCTTGGGTTCCCCACACATGCACACACACACACAGCAATCTGTTTCATGCAAGATGGCTCCATACACATGGCGCGACAGACAACATTTGCAGGCCTTATTTAGCGTAACACCCTTCACGGGATCCATCCGGGAGTGCAGACAACACCTTCAGTAAGTGCGTGTGTGTGTGTGTGCGCGTGCGTGTGCGTGGGTGTGGGTGTGTGTGTGTGTGTGCAACCGCACATGTGGGCAAACACCCTGCGAATCTCAGGCTGACGTGCTGTTGTACGTACAAGCAACTGCTGCTCGCGGACATGTTACCTGATCTTCGGCACAGCCCTATCTAATCATCCTTTGCTGCCACAGGGGGCCAGCTTGCAGGTACGTCAGCTCTGCGTCATCACGTGCGATGGAAAGGTGTCTTCGTTGGCACC